CCTCGCGACTCTCACCCCCCCTCGGCTTGACTAACTAAATACGAAGTTAGCCACGGAATGGGCCCCGCGGGCAGGGTTAAACCAAGCTTAAAAACCGACACGCTCGCGGCCGAATTCCGCGCGCAAACACCGCCCCCCGCTGACTGCGAAAACACTCGAGGATCGCTTAGAGGAATCTCTCCGGCCGTGTGTGTCACCCTCCCGCGATTTCCGCTGCCCACCCCCCGGCCACCCCCCGTATCCTGCGACCTCTCGCCGTCCGTTCCGATTTATGTAAAACAGTAGCCGATATCGAGGAGGGCACCCAGGGAGAAACGGAACGGGACGGGACGGGACGGATCCACTCGACGTGTCAGAGACGTCAGTTACACTGGTACAAGTGGGGTGGTTTCGGACGGGGTGGCAGTTAGAGCGTTTGCGAAGCGCCGCGCGACAAGTCGCGGGGGCGCAGCCCCGACCGAAGACAGCCGAACGAAGTTTCTTCGGACGGGGTGCCCGGTGTGTTATTATTTCGGGGGATGGCCCGGCGAATTGAATAAATAGACTTCGCTCGGCAAATATTACGCCGTGTCGAATGATATATCAGCTATTTAGAACCCTTTTTGCAGTTCGAGCGGCGACCCCGAGGCACCGCTGAAAAATGTTTATATCGCGTTCCGAAATAATTCTTACATCGGGAGAACTTCGATTTGAGAAATTGTTAACAGTATAAACTGTTGTATAAGTCGCAAGAGTCGATTTCACGCGCATAAAATGCGCTCTGTCTCTGTATAAAAAACAATTCGAGTCATACAGTTTGAAAAAAGTTATCGCGTTTTAAAAGGTGCTCGAATACTTTCGCGAGCTACTGTACATGCGATACACGTGCAATAAAAGAAATAGTATTTTATGCATTACCTGCAGTAATAATAAACAATAGAATATATAGATATTGTAAAGAATCGAAATAGAAGAAAGAAGAAAGATATTAGAAGAATAGAAGAAAGATATTACAAGAAATAAAATAATAAAGAAAAGTATAATATAGAAATAATATAAAGCAAATCTATAAAGCAAATAATATAATGCAAATAATTACAAAGAATAAAATAATAAAAAGAATAGAATAATATAAAGCAAATAATATAAAGCAAATCTATAAAGCAAATAATATAAAATAAATAATTACAAAGAATAAAATAATAAAGAATAGAATAATATATACAAATAATATAAAGCAAATAATAAAAAGCAATTAATTACAAAGAATAAAATATTAGATATTACAAAAGAATAGATATTACAAAGAATAAAATAATAAAGAATAGAGTAATGTACAAATAATATAAAGCAAATAATTACAAAGAATAAAATATTAGATATTACAAAAGAATAGATATTACAAGGAATAAAATAATAAAAATAATAGAATAATATAAAGCAAATGATATAAAGCAAATAATATATTCAAATACTCGGTAATGAATGCATGGAGCGCATTCGCGGTCCGCCGCACGCGATCGTAAACGGTTCGCCATGCGAGGGTAAAAAGCAATAATAAGTAACTTTCTTCTAAGTGGAGTCATTTCGCAAGTTTCACAAACGTTACCAGGCCGATCCCACGTGTGGTATTCGTTCTCTTAAATTACATCCGACGAGACTACTAATAGAGGAGACCGATGACGGTCGTGACACTTTCATTTCAGATTTACAACCGGATCGGTTATAACGTTGGACCGATTTTTAAATGAAAAATTTGCTTGTGCTATAAGCTTCCCAGCCGTCTTCGTATGCTTTCGCGTGCATAGTTCCTTTATCAATTTTTCTCATTTTTGTACCGGGCATTCGACAAGTTTTATTACGATATTATAGCAATTTTATATTTATTAGTTGATCGAATAAATATAGGTTCTTATTTAAATGATAAGATGAAGAAAATTCGAAGAAATTAATTATAAATTGTTATCTATAACATGCTTATTAATACAAAGGAATTTCAGTGTTCTTATAGGACTTATGACTTGAAACAAGGATATACAGGGTGTCCCAAAATTATGGTGTTTCCGGGAAGTAAGGGGTTCCTGAGATCATTCGAAGCAATTTTTTTCTTTGCGAAAATATTCTACGAGGCTTCGTTCACGAGTTATTAACGAAAAACAGTGACCAATGAGAGGCGAGCTCGATTGGCGCGAGGCGGCCGAGCCAACGAGCGGTCGAAGCCCAGATCCGCTGATTTGTTCGACTACCTAGCGTCTTTCATTAATATCTCGTGAACGAAGCCTCGTAGAACATTTTCGATAAGGAAGAAGTTGCTACAAATGACACCAAGAACTCATTACTTCACAGAAAAACCATAATCTATGGTATTATTATAAATTATAAAATAGCAAAATTTACGAATATGGTCCACGAAAATTTCCAGTTGCAATAATGGTAACAGCGAAAATATAACGCAGCAAAAAATACAATAATTTAATATTGAATTGAACGTGAAAGTTTATTATTCCATTTCAACTCTTCCGGTTAGACCACGAAGACTTTTAAGTACGTAAATTGGACTCGGTTAACATTTTCTTCCTAATCTACGTTCAATCATTTCGACATTCTCGTTGTAATATTTACGCACGTGCAACGACCAATCATTTATTTAACCCTGAAAATATCGTCGCTTTCGAGAAAAGCAAATTAGCATCGAATAGTCGTTACCTCGAGAATTGCACAGCGAATAAAATATACATACAGAGCGGTAAGTATCTATTTTCTCGGTTGAAACGCCGAGGGAAACGACCATCGAAGCGACCGCGAAAAAATGAAAATAATAAAGTCTCGACCGTACGAGCTCGCACATTGTTGCACTCGCGACCGCTGATAACCCGATTCCTTTTTATATCCCGGCATTAAATCGCCGGAAGACAGAATGAAATACGCGCGCAACATTAAACACCGTATTTAATATGCGGCCGTATTTCCCGGGTTTCTTTTATTGACCAGGGAAAATCGCGCGTAATGCGCGGAACGTGTTATTATCGCGCGATATATCGTCACGGTGCTCTCTCTCTCTCTCTCTCTCTCTCTCTCTCTGTGTGTGTGTCTTTCTCTCTCTCTCTCTCTCTGTGTGTGTCTTTCTCTCTCTCTCTCTCTCTCTCTCTCTCTCTGTGTGTGTGTGTGTGTGTGTGTGTGTGTGTGTGTGTGTGTGTGTCTTTCTCCCTCTCTTGCCGATGATAATTCCGCGGTTGCGAATCGAACCTCGTAAAATTATAAAGCCCCGTACTCCGCTAAAAGCGCGGACGCCGCGCGGACCAATTAGCATCTCCGTAAATCAACGGAGAATTACTTTACGAGCTGGGCCCGATGAAATCACCGGGACGTTTCGCCTCGCTCGCGACCAAGAACGACGATAATAATTCGCCGCAACGCGCCTCGCACATTGTCTCGATTTTGTTTTATTAGTTTCTCTCATTTTTCTGCTTTCTCTCTCTCTCTCTCTCTCTCTCTCTCTCTCTCTCTCTATCTATCTATCTATCTCTCTCTCTCGCTCTTCTCGGCTCAGTTTTTTTTTATTCTCGGTCATCGTCCATCGCAGCTCGTTATCGGAGACGTTATCAGCGACACTCTCGAACCGTTGTTATTACGAAGACCGATCGATATTGCGAAATTAAGTCGTCGGCCTCGCGTTGTTACACTTTAATAACGAACTGGCCTGTAATTGCACTTCACTGATTTCTAGCGAGAACTTGAGTCTGGTTTTTATAGTAAGCGTATTACGCGAACGAACGTCACTTTCCATCTTGAACGTAATATGATATTAATATGTAATATTATTATATAATAATGTAATGTAATGTAATAATAATATATTAAGGTAATTAATTTTAATAATGAAATTTTATATATTATAAAGATGTTAAAATATTAATATTATATTAATATATTAATATTTTAACATCTTTATAATATATAAAATTTAATTATTAAATTTCATTACATTATTTACTAAATTATTAAATATAATTATTAAAAATATACTAAAATGTATAATAGAGTAGTCGATATATATAAGTATCCTAAAGTATACTACATATAAAGTATGCTAATATAAATATACTAAATACTACACGTATATGTAAGTATACTAAAATGTATAATATATCGACTACTCTATTATACATTTTATTAAGTATACTAAAATATGTATAATATATCAACTACTCCATTATACATTTCAGTATACTTTTTATCATACTTATCATACTCTTTTCATAAACTCATCACAAAATCAATAAACAATAAACCTATTCAATCTTGAACACGAGACTACAACGTCCCCAAAAAATGTGAAATAATGAATCTCGATGGAACTCCGCGATTATGCTGTTACAAGGATTATCAGCGAGGAAGTAACCAGCGTGACTCACCCCAATGGCTATCGTTCAATAGTAGTAGTAGTAGTAGTAGCAGTAGTAGTAGTAGTAGTAGTAGTAGTGGTAGTAGTAGTGGTAGTAGTAGTATTAGTAGTAATAACCTCTGTGAACAGGTGACTCACGCCATGTTGGACGCGTTGCTGCACAGTCTCAATTAAATGTCATAATCTAATCTTGAATTTTTCACGTGCAAGCCGTAGCACTTACACCAATTAACGGTGCTAAACATTTACGTTAGGTTACCCGACGCGTTAATCACGGAGCATACTGAACATAGCTTTCTCCTGTTATGGTTATGCATTATACAATATGGTAGTTCTTTATCGAACTACATATTTTTTTTCGTAAAGCTGCGTTTTCACGCGACGCTACAAGCGATCTCGTCGCCACGATTCCACGTGACAAAAGTAATATCGATTAATTGCGCGATTAAAGTATGCGCGAGATAAGTACGCGTTGCTCTTAAACGGTAGATCCGAAGCGAAAAGTTATAAATAAAGTGATATAAAATAATTATTCGCGATAAAGTTGAATTCGCTGTAAAAATGCTTTTCTATCACGTTTCTCTCGAAATGAAACGTTTCACGTTCGATACTTCGACAGTCAATTATTCGTCGGAGACGGCGACGCGTTGATCATAATGCGACCATGACAGTTACATTTTCCAATAAATCACGTGATTTCTTATAAATCTATTGCGAGATGTTCTGGTCGTGCAACGACGTGTTTTGCGAGCTGACCAGGTCTTACCCCTTTTTAAAGCATATTGACATTTTCGATGCCCACGTGAGTCAAGTTCCTTATTCACCTACAGTAACGTCTCTCTAACTGTCGCTCAGATTGTCCACAGAAATGGACAGTTTGGGAAGAGGAGACGCGATTATTCGAGCTTTGCGGTACGTTTTTATAGTCACGAATTGTCAACGATCATAAAAACGAGCTTTAAGGCTCGAATAATCGTGCCCCCTCTTCCCAAATTGCGCATTTCTGTGCACGATCTGAGCGTCAATAAGGGAGATATTTCTGAGCGTCAATAAGGNGTACGTTTTTATAGTCACGAATTGTCAATGTGTTTTATAGGCTCGAATAATCGTGCATAAACAGGTACAGTAATATCTCTCTAATTGACGCTTAGATTGTGCAGAAAAATGGGAACAATTTGGGAACAGGAGATACGATTATTCGAGCCTCGCGACACGCCTTCATCTGTCTCTTATACACATCTAGATGTGTATAAGAGACAGGTAATATCTCTCTAATTGACGCTTAGATTGTGCAGAAAAATGGGAACAATTTGGGAACAGGAGATACGATTATTCGAGCCTCGCGACACGCCTTCATCTGTCTCTTATACACATCTAGATGTGTATAAGAGACAGGTAATATCTCTCTAATTGACGCTTAGATTGTGCAGAAAAATGGGAACAATTTGGGAACAGGAGATACGATTATTCGAGCCTCGCGACACGCCTTCATCTGTCTCTTATACACATCTAGATGTGTATAAGAGACAGGTAATATCTCTCTAATTGACGCTTAGATTGTGCAGAAAAATGGGAACAATTTGGGAACAGGAGATACGATTATTCGAGCCTTGCGGTTCGTTTACATAGTTAGTAAATTATCAAGAACTATAAGAACGAGCTGCAAGGCTCCGATAATCGTGTCTCCTCTTCCCAAATTGTCCATTTTTGTGCACAATCTGTGCGCCAGTATTGGAGACATTACTGTACATCGTTCACGCACTGGTAAACATGTTTCGTTTTATCCGACTTCGCAGTCTTTTATAAGATTGTATGTGTTGGGCAAACTGAATTTCGCCGTCGTCTCTATGATCATTTGGCTCGCTCTCTGTGTAAGTATAATATATTCCATGCTCGGGACGTTCTGTACATTCTCTTGTTCACAGGTGGCTAAAAGGATAGAACACTCGAACAGGCAGAAGCGGAAATTTTTGAAAGAAAACGAGGCAGTACGTTTACCTTAAATATCTTCTTTGCGAAACTGCTTTGCGTGAAAACGGCTCACGTATCGATTCACGATTGTTACAGCGATGCCAACTAGTTGCTGCTCTGAAGGACAAGAAGACCGAATACGAGGACACCGTGATCAAAGTAGTTGAGTATTGTCGCTGGTGTGGAATAAAAACTCATACTAATGAGACTAAGATGCCATTTATTTAGTTAGAATACGTTCGATGTTAGCAATCATTAATTGTTTTAAAATATCATCCAGGCAATTCCCTTCGCGATATAGATGTCATTCATCGATTGTAATATTCGTTAGTTCCTTACGCTTATTAATCAGCCTTATTAATCAGAAATTGTACAGAAATGTACTTAAAATGTTAACTGAACATTCGGTTCCAGGTTGTCTAGATTAACATAAGTATAATTGACAACAAATAAAAATCAGCTAAAAAAGGTATAACGATCGTAACGGTCGAACTTTTCAGAAGGAAACTCAACAACAGACGGCATCGGATATCATCGACGAAGTAAGTTAAAGACAATCGAACGAATTTGTAAGAAAGATCTTTATTTTTGACGACACAGCAAACGTTTCGCAAAATTGTTCTGTCAAAAAGTTTTGCTCACTTTCAAAGACCGAGTCTTGCAACATAGATTTGTGTCCTAGAAATCACTTAATTAAACACAGGATGTCGCAAAAATGTTTCGCAATCCGGAAATATGTGTTCCTCGGATCATTCGAATTAACTTCTTCCTTTGCGAAAATGCAATCCGAGGCTTCGTTTACGAGTTATCAGCGAAAAACGGCGACCAATGCGAGGCGAGATCAGCTAGCGCGACGCGGCCGAGCCAATGGGCGGAACGAGCCGCTTCGCGGGCTCGTTGGCTGTCCCGCCCCGCCAGTAGAGCTGCGTCTCATTGGCCAGTTGTTTTTCGTCGATAACTCGTAAACGAAGCCTCGTAGAACATTTTCGCAAAGGAAAAAGTTACTCGAAATCACCTGAGAAACCCCTGATTTCCGGATTCCGAGACATTTTCAGGACTTTTGTCTAATAACTGCTAATAACTTTTAAATCAAGAACAAATAAGGATTGATTGTTACAGCAGCTAAAACTGATAAGCACGAAGGTGGACACGGTGAGGAAGGAAATAGCAAAGATAGATCAGGAAGTGGACAAAGTACTATAATCGATGGTCGCCGGTGGCCGGTGGCCGGTTACCGCGAACGCTCGGTGATTATTATAATATTCTAGCTGATCCTCAGGTGGCGCTTCTGCTCAAGATCGCGTGTCCTGCAGGCGACGTCGTCGACCGGGAAGCGAAACCGTCGTCGGGCCGCAGCAAGGGCGGTAGCGGCACGGTCTCGCTCCAGGATCTCAAGGTGAGTTTTCAATTAAACTGGGCGCCGGGATATCCGGATCGGCGGGACGCGCTGTAATTGTCGCGAAAATTGCTCTGGGGCGCGGTTCACCTCGTCGCCCCGGGCCGGCGGTCGACCTGTAACAATTCCGGACGAGCGTTACAACCGCAAAACCGTGGCGCAACCCGGGAACGCAAGCCCGCGACAGATTGCCTGGGAATTCTATTTAGAATGCCGCGGCTGGCCGACGGACGCGCGTCACGCGAACTTACTTCGGTGTCTGTTCGCGAAATTCGGCGAAACCGCGGCGCAGGACAGCTCGGTTTTGTTTAAGACACGTTCGATGCTCGCGGTTGTCGACGCTGTTACGAGCGAACCGAAGGAACAATGCTGTCGTTCGGAACTATTACTGTTCGCCGTGATCGTTTTTGGTGTAATCGTGTAATACAGTAATGTCTCTCTAATTGACGCTTAGATTGTACATATAAGTGGACAATGTGGGAAGAAATCTCTTCTTCTCTATTCCAGCAGCTTAAAAAAAACGATAAACATAGCATTATTCCTTAGACAATTTCTGTGTTGTTCCAACACAGATGCTTCTATGGTAAATCAATGGGATGCATCCTTTTCTGTATGCACAATTCTTGCGCAATCTGAGCGCAAATTAGGGAGAAATTACTATTAGAGAAATGCCTCTCTAATTGACGCTTAGATTGTACACAAAAGTGGACAATGTGGGAAGAAATCTCTTCTTCTCTGGAGCTTCACTATTCACTAATAAATACAGTAAATTCTCCCTAATTGACGCTGACATTCTGCAGAAAAATGGACAATTTGGCGAAGAGGAGATACGATTTTTATTCGAGCCTTGCGGCTCGATTTTTATGGTTATCGATTGTCGACAACTGTATAAACGAGAATCAAGGTTCGAATAATCGTGTCTCCTCTTCCCAAATTGTCCATTTTTATGGACAATCTGAGCGTCAATCAGAGAGACATTACTGTACGTCGTTTTCTGCTGGTGCTAGAAGATTCGTTTTCGTGCTGCTTATTTGCCTAACATAGCTCCATAATAATTATAATTACCATATCTTTAAGATACTGTTACTTTATTTAACAAACGTTTGATGAAATCTACGATATTTTTTCTAGTCGTTTGTAGTCAATTTTCCACAAAAATAGCTTGAAATCATTCACAATTATGGCAGATATTTCGATGAACGAGTTCTTGTAATTATTCTTTGATAAAACCTTGTTTCTTTTAGACCAAAGCAGGAAAGAATCGACGTCTGCATCTATGAAACTCTAATTTACTGCATCGATAAAATTAAATAGAACAATCTTCAGTAACAGTCGTAGCAAAGTGCTAAGAAACATGAAAAATAAGGTATCAAAACCTAGCTCTTTTACCTCAAGATTCGAACATCATTAAATAATAATAATAATAATATTAATAAAGCGTATGGAATTGAAGTTTTATTAAAATATCATACAGTTTTATTTTTGAATCATTAAAGTCAAAAACAGAGAAAATAAAATATCACGTAATTCTTGTTGCTTTAAATTATTCTACGAAATTGTAAATACATGTGACATAATAAACAGTGAAAGTGAAACGTTTAAAGCAAACAGAAGAAACTGAATTATCGGCACGACGTGACCAAGACTCGAGCACCCTAAAGAGATGATTAACCATCTCCCAGCAAATGGAGGAATCACCATAGAGACCTGGATACATCGCAATTACCATCAATCAGGGATTAGTGGATCCCATTATTCAAAACAAACATCGTCATTATTACAATTACATTGAGCACAATAAGCCCAATAATAATAGCCGCTACACAGAGTATCTCCTAACATTGTCCTTCAGATTGAGTTAGGCATTATCAAATCGCATATAGTTTCAATATATTTTTAATCGATTTAAACCGAAAGCAAAGAAGACCAAAATTTCCTTCGATTTTTACGTCTTCGAACTTGTATACGAAATTACAAACATAAAAGTACAAATAAAAATGTGTTTCAAGAGTGAAAATGATGTCCCAGAAACATCCTAAAGTAATCAATAATTAATATCATCGAAACTAAAGCGATCTCAACACGCTAAACGCCGCGTCGGCGTCCATAACGAGACAAGCAAACCAGAAGAACTTGTTTAATAATATAAAACCAAAAAATACAAGATTCGCTACAGCTTTTTTTAACCCTGTCATACGTCACAGATGCTAACAAAGCTGTATTTCGATGCGTCTGACTCGTCTGACGGAGATAATTCTGAAAAATTAAATTCAGTCAAAATAAAACACTGCCCTTCCGTCTTAGAATATTTAATGAAATAATGAAATGGTAATCATAAAAACGAATCGGCAATTATAAAAACGAGGCGCAAGACTCAAATCAATCGTATCTCCTCTTCCCAAATTGTTCATTTTTATGGACAATCTGAGGGTCAATTAGAGAGACATTATTGTACTTCGTCAGTTTTGCTTTACAAAACATTGCCAATAAATAGTTTCCTAGTGAATCTTTATTCTTTTTCTTCGTTCTACCTCGTAGATCCAATTTTCATTGCAATAGCTATATCGATCGCATGAATTTGAAAAATTTCTTCACACCTAATATCACAAAGCGCATCGTGTTCGTTCCTTTTTTCTTAAAGAAGAAAATGTGTTTTATAAATTTAATAAATAATAAATTTTATAATATTTAATAAACATTTATTTTCGATTGTGCAAAAGAGCACTGAATTATACCAATATGGAAATTAGTAATTATATGTAATTATAATTATTATAATTAATATTGTAATAAGTAATTATACCACACAAAGGTTTTGGAGCCGTCCTTCCCGGCGCCTCAGCCTCCGCCCCGAAAATATGGGATCTTTGTCAGTCGACCTCCTGGACAACGTTGTCCGCCTGCAACGACTGCACTTGCAGCTGCACGCAGCACCAAGATCGGACTCAAGTAACTACGCATCCGTGGAGGCCTCTTCGGAATCAGCGATTCATCGGCGTGAGTATTGTGTTTGGTATTGCACCCGGTGTTCTCGCTGTTAATTATACAGTGTGTCCCAAAATTATGGTATTTCCGGGAAATAAGGGATTCCTGGTGTCATTTGAAGCAACTTTTTCCATTGCGAAAATGTTCTACGAGGCTTCGTTCTCGAGTTATTCACGAAAGACGCTTAACCAATGAGAGGCGAGCTCGGCTTGCGCGAGGCAGCCGAGCCAATCGGCGGAGCTGCGCTTGGCGCGCTCGTTGGCTCGGCCGCGTCGTGCCAATCGAGTTCGCCTCTCATTGGTCACTGTTTATTCGTTAATAACTCGTGAACGAAGCGTCGGAGAAGATTTTTGCAAAGGAAAAAGTTGCATCGAATGACCTCAGGAACCCCTCATTTCCTGCAAGTACCATAATTTTGGGACACTCTGTCTAAATCGGTAATTATAATATCCGCAGTGAAATCATCGGTGAAAGTGGCTTGGAAAATTAGCAAGTTGTTACAGCGTTTATAATAATAATAAGTAACGAAAAAGTGCATCGTAAAATCGAGAGAAAGCGTTCGACGGTCTCGCAGCACCATCGTACAACCCCATAAGGCCCCCGTAAGAACATTTGTTTCTGCTTGTTACCTTTTTTCACAAGTACAATTCTTTTCTCCCTATTTACTAAACAACTTTTAGCTAACGTTGCATGTACCTAACATTTAGCATAACGTTGTAATTTAAATCTAAATCGTTACCTATCCGCGAAGAAATAGGAGAAGAGAGGTTGGAGGAACTAGTCCATTTACCTCCTTCCATCTACTTTCTCTTGTTCCCGGCAAAGTATACCGGTTGCGTTCCTACAAATTGATCATTAAACGCTAAATTGAGCACTGTCGCTTTCTCGGACAAGTTCCGTGGCGTATCAGCTGAGAACAGCGGAGCGAATTACACTGGATGACACACTTAATGTCAGTTTAATATCGGTGTACATCGATGCATTCGCCTTCGCAAACAGGAAATCGCAAATAGCACGTCAACACGCCGTTAGTAGAACAATTCTATCGTGTATATCACTGTGTCACAGTCGTGCTGTACATAATTTTATACGTCCTGGAAAATGAGGGAAAGCATGTGGATCGATAATGATCGCGATACGTTTTTTTCGAACGTTTCAAATGAAAACTGCGTGATTTTTGAGACGTCGATAATATTGAAACTACAGAGGAGTCTATGTTCGTGTGAAAAAGGATAGGGTTAAAAATGAAAGGCGCCCAATATAAAGACCGAAACACCTTCGTTGGAACGCTAGATACACATTTAGAAACTGCGACATCCAGTTTTTTTTGGCTTCTCTCCAGGACATTTATTTCGTTCGCCTCTTTCTCCACGCGTTGCGTATATAAAATTTTTGTAAATCTTTAACTTCTTCGAATGCACTATAGCATTTAGAATAATAGTATCTGTAAAATACGATAGTATTTATGGAAATAATTATACACTCATCGCTCTTAGAATATTTGCAATATATAATCATGTTTTCTTGAAAAATTTTCTTTCGCATGAAACACAACATTATCTATTCTATGATAATATAATAATAATAATAATAATAATATAATAGTATAATAATTATACTATTATAATATACTACTATAAAAAATATAATAATAATATAGTAGTATAATAATTATACTATTATAATATACTACTATAATAATATAACATAATATAATAATATAATAATATAATAGTATAATAATTATACTATTATAATATAATAATATATAATATAATAATAATGTAATAGTACAATACAATAATAATATAATAATATAACATAATAATGATAATAAAATAATTCTATGATAATAAAACGATTTAAACAGCATCATCATTAGTACCAGCATCATTATCAGTTTTAATTCTCCTATCAGGTGCGAGCAAATTCATTTGGAACGGCCATCTGCGCGGTGGCAAGAAGAGAAACATTCGCAGAAAATCACGCAGCTCGAACATGGCACGCCACGACCTTCGCGGATTGCGCTCAGACTCGCCGAGCAACGTCTCCATTTTCGTCAAATCATTGCTCGAACTGGCCAGCATTTTCGCGAACGAGGATATTAAATTCCCCTTTCCAAATTGTTATTTCGGTCGCCATAAATTACGATATATCGTTCGCAGTTGCGGGGTATCCTATTACCACCGTCAAGGTTCTCCGATTGTAATTATTTATGTTTAATTAATCAGCGTCTCACGGCTGGCTGGTTCTTTGCCTTTCACTTTACGACTTTTTCATTCTGCGTCGGGCAAGGTAACTCGCGAGAAGTGAAATAGCCACACATACGCGCATATCTATGTATGCTTTTAAAAAAGGACAATCCGCTCTGTAAATTATTATTTTATTCGTATACGATCGTATTTGCTATCCTACGCTTGTACATGGAGATCTGTGGGACATTTTCGATTCTAATAAAACATTACAAAATATATTTAACTTTGTTATTTTATTGGCATTGGCAGAACGATAAATTATTCGTTAGGAAGCCCTTATTATAATAATATATTATTTAATATAGGGTGTCCCAAAAATGTCTCGCAATCCGGAAATGGCGGGTTCCTCGGATCATTTGAAGCAGCTTCTTCCTTTACAAAAATATTCTCCGAGCCACCGTTAACGAGTTATTAACGAAAAACAGTGACCAATGAGAGGCGAGCTCGGCTGGCGCGAGGCGACCGAGCCAATGAGCGGAACTGGGCTTCGCGCGCTGGTTGACTGGGCCGCCTCGCGTCAGCCGTACTCGATTCTTATTGGTCACTGTTTTTCGTTAATAACTCGTTAACGGTGGCTCGGAGAATATTTTTGTAAAGGAAGAAGCTGCTTCAAATGATCCGAGGAACCCGCCATTTCCGGATTGCGAGACATTTTTGGGACACCCTATATTCTGTCTCTTATACACATCTAGATGTGTATAAGAGACAGCGTCAGCCGTACTCGATTCTTATTGGTCACTGTTTTTCGTTAATAACTCGTTAACGGTGGCTCGGAGAATATTTTTGTAAAGGAAGAAGCTGCTTCAAATGATCCGAGGAACCCGCCATTTCCGGATTGCGAGACATTTTTGGGACACCCTATATTCTGTCTCTTATACACATCTAGATGTGTATAAGAGACAGCGTCAGCCGTACTCGATTCTTATTGGTCACTGTTTTTCGTTAATAACTCGTTAACGGTGGCTCGGAGAATATTTTTGTAAAGGAAGAAGCTGCTTCAAATGATCCGAGGAACCCGCCATTTCCGGATTGCGAGACATTTTTGGGACACCCTATATTCTGTCTCTTATACACATCTAGATGTGTATAAGAGACAGCGTCAGCCGTACTCGATTCTTATTGGTCACTGTTTTTCGTTAATAACTCGTTAACGGTGGCTCGGAGAATATTTTTGTAAAGGAAGAAGCTGCTTCAAATGATCCGAGGAACCCGCCATTTCCGGATTGCGAGACATTTTTGGGACACCCTATATTCTGTCTCTTATACACATCTAGATGTGTATAAGAGACAGCGTCAGCCGTACTCGATTCTTATTGGTCACTGTTTTTCGTTAATAACTCGTTAACGGTGGCTCGGAGAATATTTTTGTAAAGGAAGAAGCTGCTTCAAATGATCCGAGGAACCCGCCATTTCCGGATTGCGAGACATTTTTGGGACACCCTATATTCTGTCTCTTATACACATCTAGATGTGTATAAGAGACAGCGTCAGCCGTACTCGATTCTTATTGGTCACTGTTTTTCGTTAATAACTCGTTAACGGTGGCTCGGAGAATATTTTTGTAAAGGAAGAAGCTGCTTCAAATGATCCGAGGAACCCGCCATTTCCGGATTGCGAGACATTTTTGGGACACCCTATATTCTGTCTCTTATACACATCTAGATGTGTATAAGAGACAGCGTCAGCCGTACTCGATTCTTATTGGTCACTGTTTTTCGTTAATAACTCGTTAACGGTGGCTCGGAGAATATTTTTGTAAAGGAAGAAGCTGCTTCAAATGATCCGAGGAACCCGCCATTTCCGGATTGCGAGACATTTTTGGGACACCCTATATTCTGTCTCTTATACACATCTAGATGTGTATAAGAGACAGCGTCAGCCGTACTCGATTCTTATTGGTCACTGTTTTTCGTTAATAACTCGTTAACGGTGCCTCGGAGAACATTTTTGTAAAGGAAAAAGTTGCTTCAAATGACCTGGGGAATCCCGATATATATAAATATAATTATTAATATATATAATAATAATAATAATATATTAATAATTATTATATATATAATTATTATTATAATTATAGGAAGCCCTCGTTTATTAAGTTAAGTTATCACAAAGCCGCTGCGTGAACAAACTTTCAGAATTTAATATGTTTTATTAAATTGATATTTATTTCCCTGGGCTCTTATGCGATTTTCACAGGTCGCATGTCTGCTTCACGGTGTCCGGTAATAGCGCTTATGTAAAAGGATTCAGTTATTATTGTCACAGGATTCGTCAATTACGGTTTAATCCACGCGAAAGCCGCGAGTGTCGCGCTGTCGATCAGAAAAACACGCCGGTTATCGAAGAATAGAAAGAAATAACGACTGTGTCGTACATCCGACGCATTAATTATTGACATCGGCAGCGATGCAAATGCACTTTCCCAGAGATTCCGTCACGCCGCTCATTATCGCGCCATTTCTTTCGCGCGGCGCGGCGCGGCGATACGCCGGCTGTGCTTATTAGCGCGAATTAAACAAGACAACATGGTCGGTAACGCGATAAACGTTGACGAACAGAGCCGTTCCATCCACTTTTTTTCGGTCTAAGTCGTAAACGATATCTCCTCGTAGGTACATTAATGCCACTTACTTAATGCCACAATTTTCTCGTCAATTTTCACGAAAGTTCTCGTTTGATAATTTGATAAAAAGCTTCCTTAAAAAGCGGGAAGTTGGAGAACGCATGGCGGAAAATCTTTGCGCTTTCTTTTAGCTTATGTTATTTTAATTAATGCGAGCACGCGCGCGCGATAAGGAGATGGTGAGAAGTTGTTTTATAAGGAAATTAACATTATTTTTGAACATTTGCGAATGAGACGTTTAAGTTAATAAGTTAACGCGATTATTGTACGATACTAATTATATGGTTCACGTGAGACTAATTAACAGATTACGACGCGGTTTATGGGACTTTTAGAAGAAATTTGTGAACAATGATATCAAGTACAAAATTATCTTTTGAAAAAAGATGTCTTCGTACGAATTTTGTGAACAGTGTTTTATTGATTATTAGACATTTTTATGCAGATTTTTGTGTAGTAGATCAAACAAGAACTAGCTAAATTATTTAAACAACCTGAAAATATTATTGCATTACTGTCGGCTCGTTAAAATGATCAGGAGGAGAATTAAATGTCTATGCATCCTGCATCTTGCAATTAACGATGACACTTTTTATTTTATATAAGAATCCGCAATTTATTAATTAATATGCTTTGTGAAAACCTTAAGATGCAGGATTGCGGTGAAATGAATTTAAATAAATATTTAAGTAACCTGACAATATTATTGTATTACTGTCGGTTCATTAAAATGATCAGGAGAAGAATTAAATTCTATGCATCCTGCATCTTGCAATTAAGGGTGACAATTTTTATTTTATATAAAAATTCACAATTTATTAATTAATATGCTTCGTGAAAACCTAAAGATGCACGGTTGCTATGAAATAAATATAACAAACAACAAGAATTCCTACGTAAATTACAAAATATTGAATTCTGAAGATTAGTCGGTAATTATGCCTAATTAATCAGGCCCGAAAAAAATGTATAAAAGCGACGTGAACGTCCAATATACAATTTCACACGTATCCCCACGTACATATGTATGTTCGAACGGCCAGCAGTCTGATCTAGAAGCGGTCATATCACTGACCTTGAGGAAACTGGTTACTGTGAAAAGATTCCCTTTGTTTTGCGCGCGGAGATCGCGAGGTGAAATTCAAAGCCGGCGCGTTTTTTTTTGAGAAATGAGAACATCTTGGAAACACGATGAAACGAGCGTTAAAGAAAGAGCGTTAAGAAAAATATCTATGTGCTAAATATTCTCTACGCATAACAGCACATGTTTTATATTCGAAGCCCCTTCCTTTGTTGAAATAGTATTTCATTCGTTTATTATCTGCTAATAAATATTACTCTTTGGCATCTTTCTATTTTTTTTTGCTTTATTTTTATTATTTCTGCAATTACTTAACATACGATAGTATTTACGAAAATAATTGTACACTTACCGCTCTTAGAATGTTTGCGATATATAATCAAATTTTCTTAAACAATCTTCTTTCAGGTAAAACACAACATTATCTATTCTATGATAATAATATAATAATAATAATATAATAGTTAATAATATTATACTATTATAATATACTACTATAATATAATAATAATAATATTATAGTATTATAATATACTACTATAATATAATAATAATAATATAATAGTATAATAATATTATACTATTATAATATACCACTATAATATAATAATATAATAATATGATAGTATAATAATTATACTATACTAAAATCGTAATAACGAAGTTTGTCGACGTTCGCGTTATTAAATGGAGACATTTTTCCTTCGGGTTTCATGAAACGAATGGACGCGAACTTTCATAACGATCATTTCGGCACGACTAAATGATGAAAAGAAAAACCTTTAGTTCATGTTAATGTATATTTTGCATTGAAACGAAGAGAGTTTGCTGGAATAAATGAGAATTATTCTCGCAAAAGAGTGAACAAATTATTTAACCTCGTATAAAAACGGGATTTATTTTACAGAATTCATTCGGTTTCACAGAAAGAAACTTTCCATAAAAGCTGCCCATTCGATGTCACTGGACCATTCGCTGGTGTAAAGAGAGATCTTTTGTACTCGGCGGACGAACAGTTATATCAACGGCGTAATAAAGGCAACGTTAATGCGCGATTTAATTCGAAAGAGAAGAATTTTTTATTGCGATAAACCGTAGAAACGAGAGAAAGTATTACACAGCGAACATTACATAAAACTAAATGAAAATGTCATTGCTCGTTGTATCGGCGGAAAAGTGAATTATTATTATTAATGGATTTAAAAGTAAATCCATTATTTTTTAACTGTGCAAAGATCTCCGTTTGTTAACCAATTGTACTCCAGAGAATAAAAACAAACAAAAGTATGAACTTGTTGTTCAGACTGTTCTGAAATTCGCAGAAGAAACGGCTAAATTATGTTCGGTTGATTGCACGTTTTATATTTATTTATTCACAATTGCTCAACTGTTTTCTTCAAATTATATAAACACTGAACAAAAGGCAATTAATTAGCTTGTTATCTAAGCATAAATAATTTTCTATGGCAATTACTATAGCATTTTCTACGGCAATTACCGTAATTTTCTATTATTTTATAACTTTTTAATTCCCTATTTTCTACGGTAATAAAAATTAAACTCATATGTGGAGTAGTATTATACGAATAGTATTACGAATAATATTAATATTATATTTTATTAATAATATTTTATTCGTTAATATGAATAGTATTAACGAATAAAATTATATTATAATAATAAAATTAAAATAATAAAATAAAAAGTTATATTCGACGCTGTCGAATAAATATCCAAAAGATTTATCTACATAAAACTTGATCCGATACGACTTTATTCGAACAAAGATATAATCTTTATAATTTTCTATTTTCTACGGTAATAAAAATTAAACTCATATGTTGTACATACGAGATAAAGATTGACGAATAAAATTATATTCAACACTGTCGAATATCCAAAAGATTTATCTGCATAAAAATTGATCGACTTTATTCGAACAAAGATTCCCTCGAACATTCGAAAAAGTTTAGACTTTGCACGGATCGTGACGCGCGCGATTCAGCTCCGTGATTTTTCGTAACGCGAGCGCATATTAAATTTAACCAGCGTCATAAGAAATTGAATCGATCACATTCTGTGCACGTGCGCGCATAAATAAAGAGACGTGAAAGTCGACAAATAACTGAACCCAGTTATAGAACATAAACGACCGCGTGTTCACGCGTTGCATAATAATAATAATAAAAAAATCGACGCGAACTTCTGTTAAAGCAGGTAAATAAGAGCCGCTTTCGATTCGCGATGCTAACGATTCTGTTCCAATTTAACCTGGCAAGGAATCGTGTTTCTTCTCTCTCGGCTTGTTGCGCGCCGATGGCTTATGCGTGACGCAATTATTTTTCCAGTTCGAGAAACCAACTGCGATCATCGAGCTCTGTAAGCGACGTTTCACTTTCAATTTTACGGAGAAAATCGAGTTTCGTTTCGTTTCGGTTTCTTTCGACCGGTTAAAAAAATATGTTCGTTCGTATTTTCACTGGACCGCAAATCATTATACATTTGTGAGCGTTCTCCGACATATAATAGACAGAACAAGAAACAACAATCTTAACGATGTATTAAAATAGTTTTCACCTTGTTGCAGGTGATAAACTGCGGCGACTGGATTCCAGAATGAATAATGGAAAAAATAGAATAGAAATCTTTTGTTAAATTTTCAGATATATAGGAAAATTAATCTTTGACATTATGATACCCGTAGTAAACTGAAAGAATTGTTTTTGTAAACGAGAAACTAGTTTGCAGGAATTTATTACTGTATAAGTTTGTTTCTATTATTACTATTCTAAATAATGGAAAAAATAGAATAGAAATCTTTTGTTAAATTTCCAGATATATAGGAAAATTAATCTTTGACATTATATCTATAGCAAACTGAAAGAATCGTTTTTGTAAATAAGAAACGAGTTTGCAGGAATTCAGATTTTTGCAGAAATTTATTATTGCATAAGTTTGCTTCTATTATTAGTGGCACAATTAATTTTTACATTCTTTGCAGTTTTTCGAACGAGTCTCTATGCAATTCTCAGTC